CCTAAAGTCAGACTTGTGTTCATGGATATGTATGTATCAGCTGCGCTTGCTATTGGATGTATTTAGATTAATTAAGTTCATTAGCAAATAAATAAAATGTGGGGAAAAGGCATAGAAAGCAACCATGGATACCAGAGACAGTGTGGGAGGAGAGTGAGACATGGCAGAGGGTGAGAGATAGGGAATCAAGGATGACAAAAATAACAAAATATATAGGAAACAAGAAATGTAAAATTATTTGTTGACAATAACATGTATGTTGATGTGCTTGATTGAGCCAATATACAGTGTACTCTGGATTGGAAATCTTTTATGTTATGCTGTAATGATGTATAGTGAATGAATGTAAGTAAATAAATTTAAATTTAAAAAATAAATAAAAAATAAAATGTGAATAAATAAAATAAATAAATTTAAATTTAAAAAATAAATAAAAAATAAAATGTGAAAAAAATAAATAAAATTAAATCATTCTTTTTTTAAAAAAAAAAAAGAAAATCACACTGAGTGCTTTGTGCGTGCATGCCCAAATTCCCAGGAAAAGAAAGGACTGTGGTGTGGCCATCCCCCCTGGGGGGATATTTCTCATTTTCCCTCTCACTGTCTCTCTCTAGCAAGCACACATGCCCTATGACAAAAACCTTTAAAAAAAAAATTGGGGGAAATTTTCCCAAAAATTTCGAGCACAAAGGGTTAGACCGTGTGCTCTTTCTGTGGTCTGCTGTAGTGTTTAAGAAACAAATTCACAAAATGTTACTTCTTCCCACGTGTACCATAATTTATGGTGACTTGACATCTTAATATCAGTGGCTGGAAGAACAACTGATAAAAGATGTTTGACACATTAAAAATCACCTTATATTAAGCCTGTTTTTCTTTTCAGCCTGGCCTATTTATTGGATAGGTGTAGTATATAATGTTTTGTCTGCATTATCTTATGCAATCCTCAAACCAACCTTGAATGTTAGACATTATTACCCAACTTTTTTTTTTTTTGAAAGATTTTTGTGCTTGCATGAGAGACAGAGAGACAGCGAGAAATCACCCCCATGGGGGATGGCCATGCCACAATCCCTTCTCCTCCATTCTTTTCTCTGGGTTTTGGGCACACACACACACACACACACACACACACACACGTGCCTAGTGTGAGTTTTAAGTTGCTAGGTTGGGGACTTGTATCGTGGTCAGCCATGTGAGAGTCCAGCCACGTAATCATTATGCCATCCACTGGTCCCTATTACTGGAGTTTTAAAGACTAGAAAATTTAGGCTTACAATGGTGAAATTACTTGCCCAAGCTCAATTAACAAATGAAGAGATAGAACTTGAACTTCACTGTTTTAATACAAAACTTGTATTCTTAACTTTATTACTCTATCTACCTGGTGATGAAAAGACGATTGTTTTCCTAGGATGTATCACTACTTATAGATTCCTCCTGCTAAATTTATAATACTCACAAATATATAAGCTAGAAACAGCAAAAGACTCTCCAGCAACTTAAAACTGCATTTCACTTATTGAGTCATCAATATTCTTCATTTTTCCTCATCTTCTATTTTTATCTACCTTTTCTGCAATCTGCTCAGAACATCTCTGTTGGGCAGAAAAATCTTCAACTACCATATAGCCTACTCCTTAGCTGGCCTCCTGGGCCACTCCTATGTGGGATGGTGTTCTTTATCTTGGCCTCCAATGTGTTATTCCACCATGATGTTGCAGAGACCTGAGACCTAGGGATTCAGACTAAGGTATTCCACCATTCTAACTAGAGGATTTTGTTTGCTGAGAAGATTTTCCTGAGAAATTTCTTCCTGGCTACTTTCACTCAATTTGACCTACATAAGTATTTGAAATGAAATAATATGTCATACTGAATCAAGTGACTACATTACAGTAATTCTCAGAATAGGAAAAGATCACAAAGCACAATGCTCCACCTAATCCTCATTTTTTTTTCTTTTGCTATTGGTGATCTCGTGACCTGATTATTATACATATCATTCTGTTGATGATAAACGGAAAAGGAAAGAAAATACCTTATCTTTCCAGGAAAGTCTAAAGAGGAATAAGAATAACAACCAATTCTTACTTTACTTCTCCACTGCTTTCATATTGATTTCTCCAAGGCTAACAACACCTTTTAAATCATAAGCATTAAAACTATAATTATACTTTCTGTGTGAGAGATTCCAATGGTATTTAGCATTTAATAAATGTAGAATCTGGGGTCAACAGCTTGACTGCCTGAGTGTTTGCCTTATGGGAGTGGAACACGCCCTGTGCACTATTTGGTACTGTGGTGCCCAAGAGGAAGACTGGAGGCTTGAAGTAACCAAGGAGCAGCCCACTGTATCCTTCTTAAGGGAATAAAGGCCCACTGTTGCCAAACCTCATTTTAAAAGAGATTCTAGAAGTCAGGACTTTTATACAACATTCTCCGCATTTAAAAAAAAATTGGATTAAATTTATGAATACTGTGAGGGTCAAAATACTTTACTGGTGTTAGGCCAACCCAGTGGCCTGTGTTTGACCTTCAGATTCATAACATCTGAAGGACTGACGCCGAACATTGATTTTGAAATCTAGCATAGACTGTTATGGATCAGTTATTACTGGTGAAGTCACATGAAATGCTGCATTACCTAACCAGCTGAAAAGCATCATGAATCAGACCTATTCTGTCCTTCGGTCTGAGAAGTGAGTGGTTCTGATTCAACTGTTTGATAAGTTCGTCCCATCCAGGCTCCTCGTAGTGAACCATGTAGTAGCCATTTGAGTCCACGTTGAATTTCACCCAACTGTTCTTGTCAGGTAAATCCAAAGTATCTAAGAGTAGGAAATTGGTACAGACATTTCATTATCTACATATACAGCAGGAACATCTCCCAAACTGTTAACACTATTACTAATAAATTAATTAAGAATAAGTTTTGGAAGAGTCATGATGATATTTATTTTCGTAGTCTACTAGATAGCTTCATTTTAGGAAGATAGTCTTATTATTTTTTAAATTTATTCCTTTTTAATTTTATTTGCCTTTTTTTTAACATTATTTCATCTGTCAAATGTTTCCTTTTCTTGCACCTTGCACCCAAATTTCACCACCCATTCTTTACCATCTACTCCCCCACAGTCTGTAGCATCCACTTCACCATCACATCCTTAGATCTTTCATCTTTTGCCATAGAGTGCAGATACTCAGTACAGATTGAGTGGGGATATACGGTGTATATCTTTCAAAGTCTGGTTCTTTTCATTCAGCAGTAAGTCTTCTATTTTCACTCATTTTGAAACAAATGACAGGATCTCATAGTTTCCTACAACTATGTAATATTCCATAGTATATATGTGCCACAGTTTTTCAACCTAATCATTAGTTTTTGGACACTAACATTTGTCCCATGCTTTAGCAACTGTGAATAATGCAACAAACACGGATGTACAAATGTCCTTTTGATTGAGTGTTTTCCTGTCTTTCGGGTTTACTGAGTTTATGTAGTTTATTCAGATAGAGCTTCTACATGACATAGGTTCCTGAGAAACCTCCATATTGTTTTCCACAAAAGCTGCACCAACTTACATTCTCACCAGCAGTGTGAGAGGGGTCCCTTCTTATTAATAAGTTAATAATTTCTAAATAAGTAAGTTAAGTCATAGGAATCAGACTTCTAAATTTCTTCTCAAAAGTAATCTTTGCAGATCTAAGACATGTGCAAAGGCCCAGTGAACCAGGTGATGATCATAATTGGAAGTTTGGCTTGATATATTGGTCTCCTTTGTCTTCAGGTTTAGTCGCTGGACATTGAAATACATATATGTACATTGGTGATCATTTGTCCAGTCCTTATTTTGGTGATATAAGGATTCTAGGTTGAACATACATTTATAATGAAAAACCACTTGAATTTTGTTGATGTGTTTAAAGGAGAAATAAAGATTATATTATGGTTTGTTGTTTGTTTTGTTTTCCTATAGCACACATGCACTTTCCAGAGAGAGAGAGACAGAAAGAGAGAGAAGGAAAATGAGAAATCACCCCCCAGGGGGGATGGCCATGCTGCAATCCCTTCTCCTCCATTCTCTTCTCAGTATTTTGGGCATGCACACACATGCCTGGCTTGATTTCAAGCCACTAGGTTTTGGACTCGAACTGTGCAGTCGGCCATGTGGCCCTTACCCTTACCCAGTGCCTTACCCTTCATGTCAACTGCTGGCCCCATATTATGTATTTTTAATATGCCATACAGTATACTAGATGGCAAAATTACATAATAGTATTTTCTCAACAACTTCATGAGGCCTAGAGCTTATTTAAAATAAGATGAGAAAATTGAAACTAAGAAGGAGTTAAGACATTTTCTTAGGATCACATATCTGATAGGTGACAGAATTAAGATTTGAATCCAAGACCAATCAGTTCCAAAGTGTCTGCTTTTCTGCTAAGTATTTTTTAAAGAATTATTTAATTTTATTTGTTATTATTATTTAATTTGCAGTAGGGCACATGTGTTCACCAGAGAGAGAGAGAGAGAGAGAGAGAGAGAGAGAGAAGAAAAGTGAGGAAACAAGTCACCAGGTCTAGGACTCAAACCATGGTTAGCCATGTGAGAGTCCAGCACATTAATCACCATACCTCCTGTTTGCCCTGCCAATTAATAGTTTTGATTCACGCATAATCCAAAAAAGTGAATTAATAGGTACTAAAGGACATTATATAGAATCTCATCATTTCCTGATTTAAGTACAAATCTATCTCTAAATATTAAAACAGAAGAGTACTTCCCACTTACCCATAAATAAAAAATTCAGACTTTCAAAAAAAAAAAATGCCTTCCCCTTTGTACCCCAGGTCTTAGTTTCTGCAACAATGGAATGAAATGCATTTACTTACATTGAAAGTATCTTGCCTCCATTCCATGTCTAATGACTTATATGAGTTAGTTTCATCTTATAATAAATGTCAGACTGACCTGGATTCAAATTCTAACTGTGCTCCTCACAGGGCAATATTAAGTAAAATAGTGAATTTCACTGAACTTCAAATTTCTCTTCTGTAAAACAGAGAACTAACAACCAACTTGCAGATTATTAGAGTATTCAATTTAAAAAATTGTGAAAATGCTTTGTAAAACATAATGAATACAAAAGTATTAGCTATTGGTTGACTTGGGTAAGCATCTCAGTGAGTCATTTTCCATATTTGTGAAAATTGAAAACTGAGACATATAAATGCATGCAAAGTGCAGTGTGTGGCACAGAAAAAAATAAAAAGAAAATCAAACCAAAGGGCTCCTTTAGTAAATATCATATAGATAAATGAGAACTTCTTCCACACATAAGGCTTTTATTAGATTTACCTATAGTAACTTTTTTCTAAAAGCTCAAAATATGTTAAATTTCAGCAATAAAATAGACATTGGCTAATTAATTAGTTCATTACCTGTCTTTGATTTTAGAATGTGTCTGTGAATCACATCAGAGGAGCTTGTAGAGTAAGTCAGTGGGATCTGCCACAGGTACCTATGTTAGAAAATAAAGATGGTTACAGACTAAAAAAATTGGCTGCCTTAACTTTCACATTGTCAGACGCGGACTGTAAAATATACCTCACCATCCATCCTTCACACTATCGGTGGCCTTATAGCTAAGACTAGCACATCCTTGGGTAAGGATGCAAACCTTTCTTCCATGATGGTCACGAAGGTATGGCAATACATACCTAGTTGAACTCTGCCACAGACACCTGTTTCAATACCAAATTGCATACCATAACAAATTCTGCTGTTTATAAAAAAAAAAGAAGTTCTATCTTCCTTTGACATTTCCCAAAACTCTAGCTGATAGCCTGATGCATATCAAGTAGCTAAACCAAAAGCCATAGAGAAAACTGTAAGAGGGGATGCATTTACTCCAGGAAGATTTTTAACTCATGTTTTGGTTCAGTGGAATTATCCTTCCAACTGCTAAGGACTGCCAATGCTACTGCCCAGGGCCTGGAGCAGCAGAGAGAAGTTCAGAGAGCAGAAAGGCAAAATGGGTTGGAGGAAAAGGCCTCAGTTACATTTCAACAGCCCCACTACAGTAAATAAAAGAGATGGGCTATTCTTTTCTAACCTTCTAGTTGCTTCTTGAATTCATTTCTTGAATTTAATCAAGTCATCTTAGCTCTAATACTCTTACGCATGTAAAATCATGTGCTTGATAACACCAATAGGTATAAGATAGAAGAGTAACTCGGGAAGTATCCATTAGTCTTTAGAAAATGTGAAACAATAAAGAAACAACATACACAGATTCCATCTAGGAAATGGTCAGAAGAAACCATCCATGTGCTAGTACATAGAATACAGGTAATTAACAAGAAAACTTCAAATTTTTGCACAAAAAAAGATCAAAAAGAGGATGCATAGATGTAATCAACATTAAATGGATTAGAATTTCTGCATGGCTCTAGCAAAAAGGAGGTTTGTCTGTATTTATTTATTTATTTATTTTGGGGTGTGAGATTTTTCCAGATAAATAAACGCATTTCAGTAAAAAGAGAGGGAGAGTAGCACTTCGTGAGTTTGGATAGCTAGAAATCAGAACTGTCTAGCTACTGGCTCACATAGAGAAAACATGAAGATTATTGTAATAGATATTTGTTATTCTGGGTCATTCACAGTTGTGAATGATTGCATAATGTTTTTATACGTTATAAAATTATGACTCTTGCTTTCTAAGTAATGAGCCAGATATTAAATTTTGCAAATTGTGTTGCCAAGCTACAGGTTGTCTAAACTCTCTGAGGTTCAGATTTCAGAAGACCATACAGAAAAGTAGAAGGGAATATGTACACAGAGAAGAGGCTTGAAGGTTCTCTTGGGTGGGAAACATGTAACTGATGAAATGGTAAGGAAATGATATGTTCTATGCATTAAAGATCTCAAATTCACCGTGGATTCTTGGAAAAATTCTATAATTAATTATTAAACAGCTAGGCCCTTAGAAAAAGAAATCATAACTCTAAGGGCTAGCACAGACAGGTACACTTGAATTATTTCATTTTAAAATAACTTCACTCATCTCATTAATAGGGTTAATAGAGCAGAGAAATGTGGACAGGTTTTTTTTGTTTGTTTGTTTTTTTATGTTTTTATTTCAGTGAAGCTTTCAAAAGGTTGCCTCAGGATAAGCTGGTGAACAGATGACAGTGCAGCTAATTGGATTTGCTTTCATTATTACGAAGAACATCGTATGTTTTAAGACATACATTTATATTCTATTATTGAATACAGAAAGGCAACAGGAAGGCTTAGCATTTAATTTAGCACATAGGGATTATCTTTTCTCTAATGATAAAAAGAATAGCTGTTGTAATATTTCCTAGGTGTAGACCAGTCACACAACTCACTGGGGTCCCAAATCAATATCTATAAAAGAAATACCAGTGACCATCCTCTGTCTCAGAACTGAGGTTCTGAAGGCTGCTTGGAACTGGTAAAATGAGGTTGCAGAATTAAACAGTCTGGGCCACCTAAAGCTCTTCAAATCTGTTTTCAAAAAGGCTAGTGTAGGCCTCTGATTCCTATAGAAAAATATTACCCTACAAAGTTGCCAGGGCAGGTGAAAGAAAGCTAACAAAAAATAAGGAGCAAACTGAGGTGAGGTAAAGTCGACCAAAAGAAGAAAAACAGTCACCTTTCCTGCAGGGCCTTCCATTCGGGGTCCTCTTTGAAAACCCCCTTCAGGAAGCGCTCTTGTTGTATTGTGAGGGAATCCCCGTCTCGTTTTACCACCACAAGGGGGATTCCTTTCTGGAGGGTCCACGTAGTCATCATCTCTTTGACCTCCACACTTTCTTTCGGAAAGGTGAGCTGAAATGACAAGTGACTGGTAACTTGAGAGAGAGGAAGGAATATAAGAAGAAATCCGAAACTTCCAGTTTCTTGGACGCTAGAAGCCCGGCATTGGAGAGTGGGTGTTAGGGCAGAGTAACACAGCAACTGGATTCAAGAAGCTCCTCCAGGACTGCTCCCTGCAAACTACCGGCACCAGGGCCACATGTGTAGGTGAACACATGGCAAGAAAAGCTAGTGAGGAAAGGGTTGAGATTGGAGCCTCCCTCCTGCTCACTTTCAAAAAAAAAAAAAAAAACCAAAAAAACAGAACAAAAACACATCTGTTGTATAACAATGGGAGAATGCAGGAGGGGTAGCTTAGGATGGAAATATGTGTCCTTAGGGAAGCTTCAAATATTCCAGCAAAACAAATATATCAACAAAAGCATATTGAATGGAGAATAAAACTTCTAGCTTCCAAGCTTTGAGTAGAGATTTTGCTTTCTTTTTCCCCTGTGGTAATTTTCTTTTCTTCCTCCTATAGTGCTTCTGTAACTTTACTTTCCAGAGGTAAGAAAAGAGAAAACCACCGGATCTATTTCCAAACCTAATAACATACTTGTTTTGGCATTTTTTTTTCAGCGTCTAAGGGATGCCAATGCAACAATGACCATTCACAAGAATTTGAGCTGAGATATTTTTAGCTAGGAGCAAGGTTATGGGAAAGCTGAATTGTAACAACAAAAATATGGTAGTAACAACATCATTCCCCTAAATGGCCTTAGTCTGCCTCCTTCAGTCAGTGTTGTTTCAAGAAAATTATAGAGTCTCTCTTTCCCCCCAGTTAAAGAGACAGCTGGTTTACTGGGTATGTCCTCATCTCTTGTACTCCATGATTGTCTTTATACTTACTGTGCTGCTTGTCATCTTGGAATCAGAATAACAAACTCCACCAGATGTAAAATCACCTTCTAGACAATTCTGTAAAACAAGAATAGGAGAGCATGGACATTTACACACCAAAAGTGGTGGAATATGCTCAGTAGACATGAATGCAGACTTTAAATACCCCCATCCCCAGTATGCACAGGAAGTGACAGAATCTTCCTGTTGGAGTGAAGCTAGGTTGATCTCTACACACATACATACGCACACAGCAAGAGTGGAGACGTGGAGAAGGATGGGAGAGAAAAGCAACGTGAGACATGATACTGAAAAATCTAGGAAGACTTATGGAGGAACAAAGGGCATCTGGATCACTAGTAATGGGTGAATGAAATCGAGAGAAAAGAACATGTTTCTAGATATTACCAAGGACATGCATTTCAAGATTTTCAAGAAATGTGTGTAATAGACTTGGGGAATCTTGAAATAATTTGTGATTGTTGAACTTTGCTTCTTTGACCACAGAATTCATATGTAATTTGAACGAGGGGGCTTTTTAAAGGCATACACCCCCCCACACACGCACACACACAAATAAAAAACTCAAGCAAGATAATGCACATGAAAGTGCCTTTTCTTTTCTTTCTTTCTTTCTTTCTTTTTTATTTGTTACTAGATTTCCCATATTGGTTCTTCAAATATTATTGCTTCACAGTGTACAAATGACTGAGTCACCTTCTTTGAATAGCAGTCAACATCAAAGACACCCACTGCCAATTTTTAAGCTCAATCTATAAAATTTAAAAATAATCTCTTTCTCTCTCAGCCCATAGTTGAGCATACAACAGAATGCAACTCTTTGTTCTTGTCAACTATTTATAAGCATTAAGTATTCTTTCAACCACCTGTCTCAAAACAGCCATACATCACACACACAAATATTTAATTTCAAAATATTTAAAAGAGCAGTTAAAAACAACTCTCTTTTCTCAAAATATTTGTACAACCCCTCTTCCATGATTATGAATTTATCAGACCATTTAATAAAAATAATCTTATTGACTAATTATCACATTATATTCATTTTTGGTTCATTATCTTTATCTTTCCATTTTGCAAATAATGTATCTATAGTAGGTTAAATGGTTGTGCCCAGAAAGATATATCCATGACCTGATCACTGGAACCTTTGAATACTAAAAGATGAAGAGATCATCCTAGATTACCCAGGTAGTCCCTAACTTTAATGACAAATGTCCTGCCAACAGGTGGCATCATGGCTAAAAGCACTGAACTCTCACGTGGCCCACTACAGTTCAAGTCCCACTAGTCCCTGGTGGTTTGCTTTCTCTTTCTCTCTCTCTGATGAACTTGTGTGTTTTATAGCAAACTTAATAATAAATAATAAAATTAAATAAGTAATGAAAAATGTCCTTAAAGAGAAAGACAAAGGCAGAGTTGAGGCAGAGAGAAGACACAGACACAGACATAGAGAAGGCAATGTGAAGATGGAGGTAGACATTGGAGTCATAGTTACTTTCTTTTTTTTTTTTTAGAGAGATTTTTGCTATAGGGTGCGTGCATGCACCAGAGAGACAGAAAGTGAAATCACCTCCCAAGCGGGGGTGGGGGATGGCCACGCCATAATCCCTTCTCCTCCATTCTCCTCTTGGGATTTTGGGCATGCATACATATGTGCCTTGCATAATTTTTAAGCTGCCAGGTCCAGGACTCAAATCATGGTCAACTATGTGGGAGTTCAGTGATGTAACCGGTTTGAGTCTTGGACCCCGTGGCTTAAAACTCACGGCAGGGACATATATGTGTGGAATTATTGGGCCATCTCGTAGTTTTAATTTTAGGTTTCTGAAGATTCCCCATGATGTTTTCCACAGAGGTTGTACTAATTTACATTCTCATCAACAGCAATTATCATTTTTATTTTGTTGACCCTAGGCATTCTAACTGAGTTAAATGATTCTTTTTGTGGTATTTATTTGTATTTTCCTTATGACAAGAGATTTTGAACATTTTTTCATATGCCTTTTTTGTAAAAGACATAACTATATAGACAACAACATAATTGTATAAACACCTCTTTGAGGAAGAGTATGGAAGTAACTTTTAAACTCTAAAGTGCAATATAAATGTTGAAGTATATTATTACTGCCTTTAGGACATGAGTGGTTATATAAAAAAAGATCTCTTCTGTCAATAATGGCTAATAGTTTTATCTGTAAGCACAAATTCTTCCGGATCAATCACTCAAGAGAAGATTATTTCCTTTGTATTTAATTTTTTTTTAAATTTCAGTAATTGTTAGACTCTGAGTTGACTGTTTTCTGCTTCATCTTTCCTATGATACTACATGAATCCCAAAGACAAACAGATGATGATGTCTTAATTATTAACTGTTTGTCAATCACTATTATAGGTTCATCATTATGCCAGGTGCTACAGATTTTAAAAAAATGATGAGTTACGCAGTGGTAAAATGCAATGCTCTGTGAAGCTAGCCCACACGGAAAGGTTCCAGGTCACATCTGGAGACCTTTCTGAGTACACTGGGTATCTACGTGCCCATGATCCGGGGCTGGCCAAAGCTGAGGGTGGATTATGACTCTAATCCCCAAGACCCTGGTGGTGTCTCTCTCTCTCTCTCAGGGAAAAAAATAAATAAGTAAACGTAAAAAGAAGAAAACATGATGCTTGTTATTATGCAAACTGTTAATATTAATGAACAAACAGGAATAAATAAAAGAGTATCTTTGCATGAAATAGATCATACGTACACTCCCAAGTATTTAGCAGAGTCAAACTAGTGAGGGCCTAAACAGTTTGTGAAAAGGAGGTAAAATCTCAACTGCATCTTAAATGATGGATAGCATTTGAATTGTCAGGGAGAAGAAAGAGTATTTGAGGTAGGAAGGGCACTAAAAACAAAGAGGAAAATGAAGTAAGCATTGAGCAGGATTTCTTCTTTTTTAAGAGAAGATTAGTTTCACTCAACAAAGAATATGCTTTGGGGAATAAAGCTGAGCAGAGTAAATTCAAACTTAAAATTGGACAGAGAAGTCTAGGTGTCATACAATAGTAAGAACTACAAATTTATTAAAATGTGGGAACAAGGGAAGATAAAATTGTAGGATTAGCCACAGAACGGAAACCAAATGAAAGGAAAGTCAAATAAGAAACCCCTGTAGCCATCAGATTGTAGCATCCTGACCTACTGTGGTCTAGTCTCATGTTTGGGAGAGAGATTTATGTTGATTATTTTTCTAAAGCCTTCAATAATTCAGTCAGAAGAAAAAGAAACTACAGTAACCCAGCACATGACTTACATTTGACAGGCTGTTCCACAAATCATCATTTTTGGCATTTCTATAGCTGAACTCCTTTAAGTAATGAATTATTCCTTTCTGGAATTTCTCGTCATTCAGAAAATTCTTCAGCATATTCAAAATACAAGCTCCCTGAAAAACAAACAAACAAACAAACAAACAAAAAAAAACCAGAAAAGAAAGAAAGAGAGAAAGGAAAAAAAATTACATGTTTTTAAGGGATGCTTAAATGTTATGAAACATGTTCAAAGAAATGAACAGCAATTTTAAAGGGAAGCAAATAGCAGAAAACTGACACGAGTAATTTCAACTGTTGGTTTTACCGTCGGCATCCCATTTCTCTTAAAAGCAGAGCTTCCACAAACACACAGTGTTTACTACCTTGTTGTAGGAAACTTCATCAAACATTTCTTGTATTTGAGTAGGAGTTGCTGCTGGTTTGGAGATCGGGCGGGATGAGTTCAGTGAATCTCTGTTAATGACTTGAAAACATACATCCAAAAAATAGTCATCCTAAACATGGGAGGAAAAAAAATCTTAGTTCCTATTTGACACTTAAAAAACAATGGGGAACATACAAGGTTTAGGAAAATTTTTTTAGAGGTACGAATCCAATCAGTATTTCTTGCAAAATGTTTTTTTCCCTTTGTATATTCCCCCTTTGCCAATTATCCACTTTCAAAAAGTACAAAGCCAACATCCCCTCAGAGATTACTTAAATGTTTACCATGTACCATGTCCTTGAGTACGGAAATAAAAATAATGGCTTTCATTTAGTAAATTCTTGCTATGTGCCAGGACCTATCATCATCACCACCATAATTCTTTTAACATTCCTACAAGGGACGTGAAGTATTTGCATTTTACAAATAAGAATGTATGAGAGTTTGGAATTAAACCACAGATTCAGCACTTAGAAAATAACAAGGAGACTCTGACTTTAAATCTATATCTGTCTATATCATACTGGACCAAATGTCTACCTCAAAGACCTAATTAATTATTACTAACCACTTTGATATGTGGGTTTGGGAAGTGTTCAGACTACTATGCCCAAAGAGGACATGCTTGAGGAAATCACTTCACACAAGCTTTTGGGAAGCCAGCAGGCTCTCTGCAAATTCTGGAGCGGTAGACACCTGAGTCATGCTCCAGTCCTGTGACATGCCAGGAGATCTCTGCTGTGTACACTCAGTGATAATCTTTCTTCTCATCCACACACACAGCTGTATATGTGTGTTAGTTTGCTCTCTCTGTCCACAAACTTTTGGGTGAGAGATTTATCTTGTTATTTTTCTAGAACCTTCAATGACTCATCCAGTTTTGTAATCAGTTTTGTTTATCAAACAAAACATAGTGCTATACAGTTTTCTCCTTAACATTCACTTAGAAAGAATATGCTGATGATTCTTTAAGGCATATGATATGACATTCAGAATTGTGAACTTACAAACTGTAATTCTGGAAATGTAGCATTTAGAGAGAGTAGTTCCATATAGTTTGCAAATCCCTCATTAAGCCAAATATCATTCCACCATTCCATTGTGACCAGGTTGCCAAACCACTAGAAAATAAAAATGTGATGATATTAGAAATTAAACAGATACTATGAAGATTAGCTGTAGCAAGAGTTATAATGGTTGCCAGTTCTTTTAGTAGTCAAGGCCTCTCCATCATCTTTGCTGCCCTTTTCTCTGTGGACTTTCCTTCCGCTGATTTCTCTGCCTTCTCACTCCTATCACCACACTTTGGCTTGTTTCCCTTTTGTCTTCTGTGTTTTTAATACCTTTAATGCTAAACTCATGTTTTATCCACTCAATATTTTCTAGTCATTAGATTTAATGCTAAGGAAGGAAAAAAAAAACATGTTGTGGGATATTTTTTCTTTTTTGCACAATAAAAATAATCTCCCCTTATCCTTCATTTATGATGATGATTTAATGGAAAATACAAGTGAAATTGAAAAGTTCATGGAAAAATGGAATTAAAGTAGGAGGATATTTTAGTTCAAAAAAGTTTTGAAATGTATGCAATAGTTTTTGTTTTTTTTTCAAAATATGCCTTTCCCATGGACTTTTGAAGACCCCTTGCACGTGCCAAAATATCCTTTGAAAAGCCACTTTTTAAAATTGTGTTAAGTAGAAAGTATCTAAGATATTGTTAAGAATTTATTTAAGGGGCTGGCAGGTGTTGTGGTGGTTGAGGTTCTGGACTCCCACATGGTCAACCGTGATTCGAGTCCTGGACATCTGGTGGCTTGCTTTCTCACTTTCCATTCTCTCTCTCTCTGGTAGGCACACGTGTACTGTAGCAAATTAAATGATAATAAAAAATAAAATGAAATACATAATACTAAAAAAATTATTTAAGGGGTCTCATTAATATATAATATTACTGATTAGCAAATTTAGACATTAACTTCTGCTCTGATTTACTCCAAGGAATTAATTTGACCACTAAAGATATTAAAGGTCTGAGATTTTACACACACACATATATATACACACACGCACATACACGTACACATGTATATACATACATATATATGTATATATGTAATATAAATAGAGATAATCTAAATAGAGATTATTATCCTTGACCTATTTTTAATCTGTAACACAAATTTATTCTAATTTCATTCCTATTTTCTTATTTTGTACAATCACTGTACATCCTTGCTGCATATAAAACTGATTTTCCCAGCATGAATACACTGTATATTAGTCCAGTCAAAGGTAACATACACTTTTAATATTACTATTCTTTAATGTGTTTTTATATTTTGTTTGTTTACTTGGCTTATATGTTCAAAACTGCATCTAGTATATGTATTTTAGAATTGCAATCTCCAGACCAGAGCTTAAACAACAAGGTTTTAAGATTCAGAAAAGCCTCCTTTAGATATGGAACAGAAGACATTAGGTTTGTAGCTTCTAGGAACAGTTTAAGCTCTATTCTTTTTCTGACAACCCTCAGATAATTTTGCAAGAGGGCATGGATCTTCTTAAGGCTACCCATGGGAAAGAACAGGAGATATTTCTTTAATTTGAGAATTGTTGAATATTAGAAATAAAAGTTGAACTGATTTTGCTCACATCACCAGTTGGGGAGAGTGGTTATTCATTCATTCAATAAATATAAGGGAAGTTGAGGAAGTTAGAAAAATGAGATTAAAGTGCAAATTTATTTTGTTGCAAAATTTTAAAAAATCCATGGATAGTTTTTTCATCATACACATTTTCCATGGATATTTTGAAGGCCCTTTATGTATTTTGCGAAGGTACTATGTTCCTGGAATTGTGACACCTGTTAGAAATAGAAAGACAATATACACTACACCTACTGCCTCAGTGATGGCATTTAACCAGTAGACAAATACATGCAGCAAAGCATTGTAAATGCTAAGATCAATGTCTGTGCTGGGGCAGAGGGAATTCCAGGAGGAAATAGCACTGCTGGGAGAATGTGTGGGACTGTTATGAAATTATTCATTTTCTGAGACTTGCACGTAGTCTTCAGGTATGTCGCAGTACCAGGAAGCAGGAGTAGGGGCACAGAGGGGCAATACCACCTGGCATGTTCAGGAATGGCAGGGAGTATTGGATGGCTAAAGCTTAGGTTGCAGACAAGAGACAAGGCTGGAGAAGTGGAGAGAGACTGGATCATAGGAGCCTTGTATGCCCACTAAAAACCCTTGGCTCACCCAGTAGGCAGTGAGAAGTTCTTGCCCGGGTTGTATGCAGCCGTAACATGGTCATATGAACATAAATAGAAGACAAAGTAGTCAAGGCAAAAATTCTTACGCTGTCTACTGCTTCAGCCCTAGACTCTGTGTCTTCCTGAAAGAGAAGCTATTACAGGAAGGTCCAGAGGGAGCAGGGAGCCTTAGAGGTAGAGCTCTCAGACCATTTCCCTGCAAACATCAGGCAGAAAGATTAAGAATCCCCAGACTCAGTTAAGTGCTTTAGTGCTCCCGGTGACTAATGATCAAAACACCTAAAATGGGCCACTGGGGAGGTTCTGAACCCGAAGAAGTGACCCATATATCTTTGAAGTATAGTCCTGAGCATGGTTTCCTGTGTTCCTGGGTGGGAAGTTCATTGCTTAAAAAAAAAAAAAATTCCTACTTATTATTATGGTGATGATAAAGGATAAAGTTAAAAGTATTTAAGGACGAGATCTTACCAACTTCTATGTGGAAGGATGCTTACCCAAGTGGTCAACAAAATTTTCCAGTGCCTTAAATAACTCACTGTGTAAGTGAGAATTTTCAGAAATGAAATAGAGTGTAAGTACATGGTCTGATAAGGCTAGACCTAGTTCCCTATTTCTTTGTAATACAGTATTGATTGATGGCCTCTGGGGATCTTATTTTGAAGAAATGATAGTCATAGTAATAGCAGTGGCATCATTAATATCTAACACTGATCGAACGATTACTATATGACCAGCACACTTTTCTTATCTATAATCCTCACAGCAGTTTTGTGAAGCACAAACTATTATTAACTTTATAGATGAAGAAAGTGAACTTCAGAGAGTTAGGTAATGTGCCCAGAGTTAGCGGCCTGTGAATATTTGGATTTGAATATGACCAAATTATGATCATTATGGATGTATAAACACAGAATCCAACTGATGGGAGCTTGAGTTTGCCCTAGAGTAGAATGCCAGGGTTGTAGAAGGTATAGAAGACATACTTTTAATAGAAATATTTATTTGTAGAGTTCCCAATGCTGCACTTTAGGTGTCTGCATAGTACCTACCTCCTTTTCCAAAGGACATTTGAAGGCTTTGCTTTGAAGGGTTTTAAAGAATAAATGTAGTGGCCACTTCTCTGGCGATAATATTTTGATATGAGTCCCACAGTCAAGAGACTGAGGTCTCCACTATTCATCATATTATGTGGAGTTTGATGATTCCCTAAGGTCCTCTCTAGAGGTAGACTGAGGAAACATTACGTTGTTCCAGGAAGACTGATGGCGTGCCGTATAATGCTCATGTGAATGGATACTGACAGGATGTCCTGAATATCAAGTACCTGGTGTGCTAGTTCATGAGCTATGACTCTGGTGACCCACAACTTGTCAGCAGCAGAAGAGGTCCTGGGATCAAACAGCAGTGATGTCTCTCTGTATGTAATGAGGCCCCAATTTTCCATGGCTCCAGACTCAAAATCAGGAATAGCAATCAGATCTAAAGAATAAGAACCATCAAACTCGATTACCAGAAGTAGTATGTACTGTTTGTTCAAATGCTTTCAGTGTACGTAAGCAACCTCTCTGAAAACATCAAGAATTTCTTAATACTGGCATGGAGTTTTACAGTTGCACTGAAAATAATCTGTACCCATAATCAAGTGGAGTAAGCTCTACCAATATAGTTTTTGCTCTAGTTAAAGTAACCTATTGAGATGTAAGCATTTATGCCCCCCCCCCAAAGTGCTAAACTCTAAAAGTTATCAGGGTGCACTAGCGCTAGGAAAATGATTTATTTAAAAGCACATATGTAGGGCCAGCCGGTAGCATGGTGGTTAAGGCAGCTGTATTCCAAATGGCTGACTGGGCAGATCGAGTCCTGGAACCAGTGGCTTGAAAAACATGCCAAGCATGTGTACACGCATGCCCAAAATCCCAGGAGGGGAGAAGTGGAGGAGATGGCATAGCGCCATGACCATTCCCAATGGGTGGTGCTTTTTCATTTTTCCTCTCTCTCTTTGATGAGCACACATTCCCTATGGCAAATTAAGACCTACACACACAGACGCACACACATACACACACACACGCACACACCTCCCCATATTTTATATTAGTATTAGTTAAAAACCTTAAAAGATATCAAACGATGTCTACTGTGTTTGGGGTTATCCAAACTTACGATGAAATACTTTCTATAAAAAAGGGAAAATACAGGATTTTAATGTCAGAATGCCATTGAGAACATTCTTTATAGCCAATATTTCATCTGATATTTCAAGCACATTTGGCCTCTATTACGCACAGTGTCCTAAGGCGGTAGAAGAAAAAACTCATGGACATCAATTCTTTCTGACCTCAATTTCCTTTTCAACATTGATATTTTCTCTAACTCTTAAGAAAATCTTAGGGAAAAAAAGGTAGCTAATAATCCTTAAGCAACTCAGGTGTATGTGTCTTCCTACACTCATCTGTGTATGTATGTAGCACACCCTGTGCTATCACCTGCCACCAACTTCATGAAGGGTAGAACATTTCTGGCTAATATTTAACCCTAGAATTCTTCCTTTATAGGGACTAGCAGACGGCACAATGGTTACATGACTGGACTCCCACTTAGCTGACCACAGTTCGAGTCCCAGACCTGGCAGCTTAATACCAGGCGCATGTGGATGCATGCCCAAGATCCCAAGAGGAGAATGGAGAGAAGGGGTTGTGGCATGGCCAGAACCGGGGGAGTGATATCTCACTTTCTTTCTGTCTCTCTGGTGAGTGCACTTGCCTTACAGCAAAAATCTCTCTTAGAAAAGAAAAAAAGAATTCTTTTGTATTCTGCCAGGTCATTTTAGAAGAAGCATTGTTTGGCTAAAAAGGATAGTATTTTTTTGGTAAAGTAACCTTATTGAGATGTAAGCATTTATGCCCCCCCCCAAAGTGCTAAACTCTAAAAGTTATCAGGGTGCACTAGCGCTAGGAAAATGATTTATTTAAAAGCACATATGTAGGGCCAGCCGGTAGCATGGTGGTTAAGGCAGCTGTATTCCAAATGGCTGACTGGGCAGATCGAGTCCTGGAACCAGTGGCTTGAAAAACATGCCAAGCATGTGTACACGCATGCCCAAAATCCCAGGAGGGGAGAAGTGGAGGAGATGGCATAGCGCCATGACCATTCCCAATGGGTGGTGCTTTTTCATTTTTCCTCTCTCTCTTTGATGAGCACACATTCCCTATGGCAAATTAAGACCTACACACACAGACGCACACACATACACACACACACGCACACACCTCCCCATATTTTATATTAGTATTAGTTAAAAACCTTAAAAGATATCAAACGATGTCTACTGTGTTTGGGGTTATCCAAACTTACGATGAAATACTTTCTATAAAAAAGGGAAAATACAGGATTTTAATGTCAGAATGCCATTGAGAACATTCTTTATAGCCAATATTTCATCTGATATTTCAAGCACATTTGGCCTCTATTACGCACAGTGTCCTAAGGCGGTAGAAGAAAAAACTCATGGACATCAATTCTTTCTGACCTCAATTTCCTTTTCAACATTGATATTTTCTCTAACTCTTAAGAAAATCTTAGGGAAAAAAAGGTAGCTAATAATCCTTAAGCAACTCAGGTGTATGTGTCTTCCTACACTCATCTGTGTATGTATGTAGCACACCCTGTGCTATCACCTGCCACCAACTTCATGAAGGGTAGAACATTTCTGGCTAATATTTAACCCTAGAATTCTTCCTTTATAGGGACTAGCAGACGGCACAATGGTTACATGACTGGACTCCCACTTAGCTGACCACAGTTCGAGTCCCAGACCTGGCAGCTTAATACCAGGCGCATGTGGATGCATGCCCAAGATCCCAAGAGGAGAATGGAGAGAAGGGGTTGTGGCATGGCCAGAACCGGGGGAGTGATATCTCACTTTCTTTCTGTCTCTCTGGTGAGTGCACTTGCCTTACAGCAAAAATCTCTCTTAGAAAAGAAAAAAAGAATTCTTTTGTATTCTGCCAGGTCATTTTAGAAGAAGCATTGTTTGGCTAAAAAGGATAGTATTTTTTTGGGGACCAGCAGTTAGTGTAATGGCTATGTCGCTGGACTCCCATGTAGTCGACTGCGGTTCAAGTGCCGGACTCGGTGGCTTAAACTCACGCTGGGCGCGTGTACGTGCGTGCCCAAGATCCCGAGAGGAGAATGGAGGAGAAGGGATTGCGGCATGACCATCCCCTCTGGGGGGTGATTTCTCGCTTTCTATCTCTCTGTCTCTCTCTGCCTGTCAGGCAAGCGCACGCGCCCTATAGCAAAAACCTCTCCAAAAAAAAAAGGATAGTATTCTTTTTTAAAAGTTGGAAATGAACCGAGTCATTTGGCTTATAATTACATTGTCTTGGAGTTAATACTGGATAATTCTAGTGAATTAAAACAAATACTTATAATGTAATCAGAAACTAAACTAGCACTAATAAAGATTAGTATTCATTAGCACTTCAAATGTGGAATGGCTCCTTCACTAGATTGTATTGATGATTTTATATAGTTAGATTATTTTCCAAAGCCATTAGAGGTGCTTATATCTGTTCTATTTTTTCTTAAGTTGCATGCTCCTTTGCAGTTAATTTTAAAAGTTGTTTCCTATGATTGTCAAGGTTGCACTTTTCAGGAATAACATAAGATTGTTTTATGGCCATTAATGACCTTTCTTGATTTTTGACCTAGAAGACAAGAATGTATCATAGCTAAACTAACTTCATACATCTGTATTAATGTAATAATACAGTGGGACTCAGGAACTATAGGACTAGATCCCTGGATATAGCTTTTGATGGTTTCTTTTAACTTCTCTGAGGAAAACTGCATGGTGGGAGAGAGGGGAAGAACATAATAAGTATATCCTAGGGCCAGCAGATGGCATGGTGATTATGGTGCTGCATCCCACATGGCTGACTCCTCAGTTCAAGTCCTGGACCAGTGGTTTGAGAGTCATGCTGGGTGCACAAACATGTGTGTGTGCGTCCAAGATCCCAATAGAATGGAGGAGAAGGGACTGTTCATGGCCATCACCCTCCCACCTCCCCAGGGGTGAGTGCTCACTTTCCCTCTCACTCTCTCTGTCTCTAGTTGGCAAGTGCTCATACTCTATGACAAAAACCTTAAAAAAAAAAAGTATATTCTAACTTGGAACTATTTCATTATATTCAAAGGAAAAGAATGTTTTGTTATTCCCCAGAAACTCTAAGAACTAATGTAAACTATGAAACTTAAGTCATGGGTTTTATTCATTTATTTCTGTTTTTATTTTTATTTTTATTTTTTTTTTTTATGAATTGCCAGAGGGAGTGTGGGCTTGCCAGAAAAAGGGAGGAGTTGGGAGGAAGAGAGAGAGAGAGAGAGTGAGAAAGGGAGAAAGCACCCAGTAGGACCTGGTAGCCGACTTCCTCACACCACAATCCTTTTTCTTCCACTCCTCCTTCCCTCAGGATTGTGCTGTTCACACACACAGAGGCACAGTGTGTTTTTCAAGCCACTGTGGCCAGGATTCAGACTATGCTTGCCCCTGTGGGATCTGGTTCCCTTAACCACTGTACTACAGGGCTGGCCCAGTCACTTTTTTTTTTTAAATTTCTTTTTTAATGTTCTGTAGTATTATAAAAATTGCATCTTCTTTTTTTAAGATAAAAAATTAAAACCATGATAACACTATATGTATCATATCATGTAAAACCTACTACCACATCTGGGGGCCATTGGGTGGCATGGCGATTAAGGCACTGGACACTCCCACATGGCCGATCATGGTTTGAATCCCGGACATGTGGCTTGCTTTCTCACTTTCCCTCTTTCTCTCTCTGTGCTTCTCTCTGGTCAAATTAAAAATGAATGAATGAATAAATTAAATAAATAAATAAAAATTCTTAAAATAAAACAAAAACCCTACTACCACATCCAAATAACCTGTTTCCTCAAAATCTTCTTTTATTCCTTTTAATCTGCACTACAGTCTTATCTTCCAACCTCGGTGACCAAAATAGATAAGAGTTGGAGGACAGTTTTCTGGTCTTTGTTTACACAAAGTTTGAGTAACTTTTTTTTTCGAGAGAGATATTTTTGCTATAGGGAGTATGTACTCACTGGAGAGACAGAGAGAGACAGAAGAGAGAGACAGAGGGACAGAAAGTGAGAAATCACCTCCCAGGGACATGGTCACACTGCAATCCTTTTTCATTCTCCTCTTGGGATTTAGGGCATGTATACACATGTGCCCAGCATACGTTTTAAGCTACCAGGTTTGGGACTCAAACTGTGGTCGACTATGTAGAAGTCCAGTGACATAACCATTATGCCATCTGCTGGTCCCAAGTTTTGGTAACTTCTTTTTGAAAGAATTATTTTTTTTAACTTCATTCATTCATTCACTTTATTTTATTTGACTAGAGAGGGACAGAGTGAGAGAGAGAGAGAGAGAGAGAGAGAGAGAGAAAGCCACCAGGTCCGGGACTTAAACCACGGTCAGCCATATGGGAGTCCAGTGCCCTTAATCACCATGCCACCTGTCAACCCCAGGTTTTTAATTTTTATTTTTTTTAGAGTTTTGTCATAAGGCATGTGTGCTTGCCAGATAGAAACAGAGAGAGACGCAGAGAGAAAATGAGAAATCTTTTTCCATAGGAGAATGGCCACATAGCAATCCCTTCTCTTCCAGCTTCCTCTCAGAATTTGGGGTATGCACTCACATGCGGCTAGCTTGATTTTCAAGCTGCGGGTCCAGGACTCAAACAATGGTCAGCTATGGGAGAAACTAAAGTCTTACTCACCTTGCCACCTACTGGCTCCATTTTTTTGGCAACTTTTATAATAGTTTGCATGTCTTATACACAAATGGTATTGAGAGTCCTCCAGAAAATTCGTCTAATTCTAATATGCAGTGCAGGCATTTTAACATTAAAACCAGTAAAAGAATAAAGAAATGATCCACACTACTTGGGCTTCTCATAAATACTGAATTTTCTACACTCAAGATCCTCTCTAAGGAAGAAATTACTGTTTCCTGGGCTAACTGAAACTCTTCAATATTAACTGATGTCGCACACAAAAAGGGAAACACATCAAAGCAAGTCATATGAGCAAAAATACAGACAATGATGTGGAATTAGAACATACCCAGTTTGGGGAGTGGATAGTTGATGTGAAAGTAGTTTTCATAAAAATCAAGTAGCTTCAGTGATGCCTGCAAGGCGTAATGTGTTTGATTCCATTTGTCCGGGGATGCGTAGATGGACACCTGGGAAATGTGGGTCAAAAGAAGTGGTCTTTAAATGACAGCTCTTTGGCATGATTCCATTCCTAAGAACCCTCACACATAGAAAGGCAGATTGCATTTTTCAAGAAAGTACTAAGATATCATTAAGCATGCTGTCAATAAGAGATAAGAGGTTCTGTGAAATATTAAAGCAAAAGTCAGGCTGGAAAATTATCAACAACCTTGCAACTTCTGTTACAAGTCATTCCCTAGGCGCTAATCTGTGCATTTCTAGCTATATTAATCCATTATGGTTGTGTCATGAAAAAAATATTTGAGTTCATCACTATGAGATACTCTGGCACTAATGAGCTAGCTTTCCAAAATTATGACCACAAACATAATTCCAATAAAACACAGGGCCCTAGACTTAGGGGGAAAAATCCTGAAGAATTGATTGAATCCACTCCAGCTCAAGTTTGATATAAACTAAAAAAATGCCCAAATAGGAACAATGACTCTCGGTTTGTAACTAGTTACAAAGTAGAAAAAACAAAATTAGATTACAATTTTCTTGACTTCCAAGTAAGGGACTACTTTCATTTCATAACCCACTTTCATGCTCTGAATTAACTGAAATCCATCAGAACTTTGTGTGGAGAACACGTAAATAGCCACCATTTGCACAGCTTACCAGGTACTATGCTAAATCTTGAGTGTAAAATCTAATTTAATAATCATATCCATGCTGTGAACTAGGTGCTCTTGCCTTCATTTTATAGATGAAGTGAAATTACATGGAGATGAAGTAATTTGCTCCAAATTACCCAGGTAGAAGATGCAGAGCTGGAATGTGAATCTAAGGAAGCTGAAGGGAATCTGTCCTCTGACGTAAAGTGCCATCCACCCTAAACTTGTGTCTGTGCACATGTGTACGAAAAACAATTAGAAACAATGTGTGTGTCTATGTGCAGAGATGCTGTGGCTTATACAACTATGCAATCATAGTATGTATCTACATAGTTTTAAGTATAAAGTGGGTGTAAATTGTAATAGTCATTTTAGATCCATTTTTCTACAAGCATTACTTTGTGTTTTTTTGAAGATATTTTTATGTTTATAATTTGTTCCTTAGTGTCAGGAGTTCTTTTTAGTTCTTTAATGTCTCCATCAATGCATGCAAAAATTTTAACTCAAGATTATCACTGGCAATTGTGGTAAACTTTTGCAAACAACGAAGATTCTAAAATTAGAAAGAAGAGTCAGCTGGTGGGTGGATCCTATATAGCTGATTTTGCAATTCAAGTCCTAGACCTGGTGGTTTGAAAAACATGCCAGGCATGTGAATGCATGCCCAAAAATCTCAAGAAAAGATTGGAGAAGGGACTGTAGAATGACTATTCGCTCTGGGGAGTGATTTCTCACTTTCTTTCTCTTCTCTCTGCTTCTCTCTGAAAAATGCATGTGCCTTACAACTAAACTAAAAAGAAAGAGAAAAATAGAAAGATCTTCTTTCACTGAGGAAAAATGTTATAGAAAACAATTAGAAGGAACATGAATGTCCTGAAATTAGATGCTGATTTTAAAAATTCCTTATGGCACCTTCATACACTCCTTCATATAATACTACAGAAAAATATTTCATGGCATTCTATTTATATTCATTAATATAAAAATTGATTTAAAATAGTCTGATCTTGTAAAAACTTACATATATCATATGAATTACATATATTATATATATGTGCACATACACACATGTGCAGTGTTATACGGATATCCATATATACTGATATATGCATAGAAAATACTTGGAAGGCTTACGCTAATGTTGCTGATGGGATTATGGATGATTTTTCATTTAATGCAATTCTTTTTACCTATCCACATTTTGCATACAATACTTTTTTTTTTACCTATCCATATTTTTGAACATAATACTTTGATAGCAAGGAAAAAAAGCTTAAGAAAATGAAGACCAGCTCATTGCCCTTAGACTACTCTGTACTACGTATGAAATTAGAGCTCGGTCTCACCTTGACCCCCGATGAGGTTGTGCCACTCACAGAACTGAAGTCACAGACGACGTAGGCTACGAGGTACGTACTCATTTTTACAGTCGTTTCAAAGTGATCCTCCAAGAGGCCTCTTTCAACTTCAATTGTCTTAACCTGTAGGAAGGGAAAGGAACTGGCATGTGAAAACTGGAGAATTTCACAACTACGCTGTGACTTACGGCCAGTGAGCGAGTGAGAGGGGAACCTGTCGCTCTGGGACATGTGCCATTCTAGACCAATGGTCTCTAGTCACCTTCTGGGACCTCTCATAGTTCTGATTCTTTTTATTCTTGGACACTCCTAAAGACACAATGTGCTGATTGAGGGATTCCCAAAGCACAAAATGCCAACTCTTTATTTTGTTGCTTGAAAACAAAAACATTTCAGATGCTTTTACTTTCTTAAAGTGCCATAATCTTCAGTACTGGCATAAATTCAAATTCTGGACTTGTAAGCAAAAATGCCAGGGAAGAGCCCCTTTCCCTTTGTTTATTGCACAATAAATATGCCTCTGTGGCGGAAGAAGCAAGATGCTTCTCATTATCTTTGGATCCTCTTACAATGTGGGTGTGAGGTAGGTGTTATTTAACTGGTGAGGAACAGGGACTCAGAATTGAGCCCTGTGTGGCCTGAGTCCTCACAGCTCTTTCCACAGCAGGACCAAGAGGAGGCTGTGACGATGTGACTCCAAAGACGTTGCTCATTCTTCTGCTCGCTGTGTGACAGCTTGAGTCATAGTCTTATTTTATCTTTGCTTCATTGATTCAGCAGTGGAAGTAGCCAGGCTGAGAAGGTCATTAGTAATTTAAACCTCTGCTCATCTACCGAGGCAGCAGAACATTTTCAGCCTCCAGCCTGGTCAGCTGCATCCATCAAATTCACTGGGTAATTATTGAATTCTGGATTTGTTTAGTCTGATAGCTCTCCCCCATATGCTCTCCATCATGGTACAACATCCCTAAATATTGGATAGATATAGATCCCATAATCTGCAAACACTGCTTTCTTCCAATGGGTCACAATTCCTAGACTAGGTCTCTCCTACTTCCAACCCTCGCTCCACCCCCTTTCAAGGATTCAGCCTAGAACAGCACTGGCCATGGCTTATTAAGCATACTGTATGTGCTGGAGAAGGTCACATTTTGCTTTGGCAAGAGAAAATAGCTTGAACTAGAACCATAAACTGCATAACTTACCTCAGTGGCAAATGTCTGTGCTATTAAATTTAGATTTTTTTTTCTACAAAATTCTGTTTAAAAATTCATTTCTAGGGACAGCTAGTGGCAAAGTGATTGAAGTGGTATGTGCCATTCTAGACCAATGGTCTCTAGTCACCTTCTGGGACCTCTCATAGTTCTGATTCTTTTTATTCTTGGACACTCCTAAAGACACAATGTGCTGATTGAGGGATTCCCAAAGCACAAAATGCCAACTCTTTATTTTGTTGCTTGAAAACAAAAACATTTCAGATGCTTTTACTTTCTTAAAGTGCCATAATCTTCAGTACTGGCATAAATTCAAATTCTGGACTTGTAAGCAAAAATGCCAGGGAAGAGCCCCTTTCCCTTTGTTTATTGCACAATAAATATGCCTCTGTGGCGGAAGAAGCAAGATGCTTCTCATTATCTTTGGATCCTCTTACAATGTGGGTGTGAGGTAGGTGTTATTTAACTGGTGAGGAACAGGGACTCAGAATTGAGCCCTGTGTGGCCTGAGTCCTCACAGCTCTTTCCACAGCAGGACCAAGAGGAGGCTGTGACGATGTGACTCCAAAGACGTTGCTCATTCTTCTGCTCGCTGTGTGACAGCTTGAGTCATAGTCTTATTTTATCTTTGCTTCATTGATTCAGCAGTGGAAGTAGCCAGGCTGAGAAGGTCATTAGTAATTTAAACCTCTGCTCATCTACCGAGGCAGCAGAACATTTTCAGCCTCCAGCCTGGTCAGCTGCATCCATCAAATTCACTGGGTAATTATTGAATTCTGGATTTGTTTAGTCTGATAGCTCTCCCCCATATGCTCTCCATCATGGTACAACATCCCTAAATATTGGATAGATATAGATCCCATAATCTGCAAACACTGCTTTCTTCCAATGGGTCACAATTCCTAGACTAGGTCTCTCCTACTTCCAACCCTCGCTCCACCCCCTTTCAAGGATTCAGCCTAGAACAGCACTGGCCATGGCTTATTAAGCATACTGTATGTGCTGGAGAAGGTCACATTTTGCTTTGGCAAGAGAAAATAGCTTGAACTAGAACCATAAACTGCATAACTTACCTCAGTGGCAAATGTCTGTGCTATTAAATTTAGATTTTTTTTTCTACAAAATTCTGTTTAAAAATTCATTTCTAGGGACAGCTAGTGGCAAAGTGATTGAAGTGGTTGGATCCCACATGACTGACTGTGCAGTTTCAGTCCTGGAGCTGCAGCTTAAAAAACACAACAGGTGCATGTGTATGTGTGCCCAAAGTTCCAAAAAGGAGGAAGAGATGGCGGAGAAGGGATTGCAGGGTGGCTGTCCTCCATTGGGGGCGGGGGGGGGACTTTCTGTCCCTCCTCCTTGAGTGTGTATGACCTCTGGCAAGTGTTTTTTAAAAAGCATTTCAAAATTCCAATAAAGCAGAAAACACTGACCAAATACTCTAAGAAATGTAGAAAACTGCATGGGGCAGTATTACATTTTTTTTGGAGAGGTTTTTTTTTTTTTGGCTATAGGGCGCGTGCACTCGCCAGACAGACAGAGAGAGACATAGAGACAGAAAGCGAGAAATCACCCCCCAAGGGGAATGGCCGTGCCGCAATCCCTTCTCCTCCATTCTCCTCTCGGGATCCTGGGCACACACGCACACATGCCTGGCGTGAGTTTTAAGCCACCGGGTCTGGGACCCGAATTGCAGTCGACTACGTGGGAGTCCCGCGACATAGCCATTACACTAACAGCTGGTTCCAGTATTACATTTTTAACTCTGTCCAACAAACTAATTTTGCCCAACCACAATCTCTTCTTTTAGGAATCGGATTGAACCAGAGTTCTATGAACATACACTCCCAGCAAAAAAAGAAGCTGCCTTGCGATGGGACCAAGAGAGCAGGGATGATCATGGTCTTCTGACCAAACTTGCAGCCAAACCATTTAGCCAAGTGTGTGGGGGGACGGGAGGAAGTGGGAGGCCAGGTGACTTTGGGGAAACGAGGGTCTAGGTCATGAAAGCTAGTGGCAGAGAGGGTTAGGAGATGAGCATTCACTCTGATTTCTCCTCGCAAATGAAGACATAGTCCATGGGGGATTAATTCTGTTCGGGAACCTGGAATGATCCAGGTACATAAACATTTCCTTGAATAGACGTATATGAGTATTTGTGTGAGTTCTTCCAAAATGGTGATGTGAGCTCCAAGTATAAAACACTCATTGCTGGATGAGGACTTAGCTATTTTCTCCATCTTGATAGGATTGTGCTTGTGTAGCATGTGTTACTAGTATGTGTGTTGCATTCACAAGCAAATACAGATGAGGAATGTTCAGACAAAGAAAGAAGATGAAGTGGACAAAGAAATGCCCCCCAGATATGCTCTCTTCTAATGGGTGGGTGGCCTTCTCACTTTTCTTGCCCTTAGCATCCTTAACTAAATGAATCAGGAACTACGTATTGATTCTTCCTACCATTTTATAACCCTTAAGTGCTGCCACTACTATCCAGAAACTGTGATGGTAACTTTACTTCAGGTCTCCCTTTTAACTCAGCAACCCTGAAAGCCTGGGTTGGGCATGTCAACAAGAAGCAGAAAGTTAAGCTAGTATTCACTAAGAAGGGCACGACCCAGACAGCTGCTCATCAGCTGAGGCAATGCAGAGATTCAGGATTTCATAAAACATTTTCAAAGACTTTGCCTATTTTTCCTAAACATGAGAAGGTACTGGAGGTTTCCAAAGATAGAAGTTTAAAATTCAAATCTAATGATAATGGCAATTTGTGTTTGCATTGCATTTTAATTAAAAGATCTATCTTTCCCTGTGTAACTATTCATATGAAAAATTATATTAATAAAAGACTTTCAGAAAAGGAACAGAGATGATAAACTGCCTTTAAATGGACATGCTGCTGGAAAGAAAACTGGGAGTCAAGGTAGCAGATCATCATTATCTGAAAATGAGAGGCCTAATTAAATTGCCGTCTATTCGGCCATGGGAAAACCATGAGCTGCGTGTCATGTGGCTGGTTGCCACTTTTTCCCCGGATCTGCTCTGGCAGAGCAAATGTCTTTTCCAGCATTAAACAGAGGTCTGGGGAAATTCAGTGCCTCCATTACAGACTTGTTTTTCTCCTGCATCCGTAGACCCTGGACCCCACATAGTGCAGAGAGGAAGACGGGCGTAGGGCCACTTGCTGACTGATCATGACCTGGCTGCTGCTATGCTGCTCACCCTTCTGAAGCACTGCCAGGAGAGCCTCTGTCTTTGCCCTATTTTCCAAGAAGCCGTGGAGAAATACTTTACATTTAGTTCAACATCACAAACGGCAAGCACATCATTAGTGAGGAAATAGCAAATGAGGCTCAGAGTCTACTGTGCCTTTCAGTATCACCACATTTTCAGTATGAATATGAGTCAAATAAGAGCATCCAATTAAAATGTCATATAACCATAATGAATAATTTTAAGAACTAGCTGTGGAACTTAAATTTTAAAAGGCGGGATTACTAAATTCCATCAGTGACTATGAGGTATGAATTTCCTCGCTGGAGTCCGGCAGGGACTTTGGGTCCTTGCTGCATCAAATGTGCTCCCTAGAGCTTGCTTGAAAGGCAGAGGTTTGAACTTCACCCTGCCATCTCTGAATCAGAACCTGAATTATAACAAGACCTTCAGGCAATTCATCTGAACACTGAAGTTGGAGAAATGCTGCTCTGGTGTCTCTGAATTTCATCCTTGGCCAGGTAACACTGATTTAAAAGAATGCTATTTGCACATGAACACAATTAAAATATTAAGATATAAGTCACTTTGGGAAAAAAAAAACAACTTAGGTAACAATGCCCCAAACAGAATGACGTTAAAGTCTATGCAGATCATGACATGATATGAATATTACCAATATTTGGAATATTATACAATTAATATGCAAGTGAATACAAACAAATGGCTTGAATCCTGAAAGCAATAGAAATATGAAAACAAAATAAAAGACTGAGGAGGCTCAATTGGAGAATGATTTTCCAAAATCTCTGAAGGTGACAATACCTTTGGCATGTTGGATAGTGAGATGTGTCTTTTCTCTCTTCTTATCTTGATTGAGAAGTTGGCCTTGAATGATGGTTCATCAAAGCAAGGGAAAGCCATACGTGCCTGGGTTGGCTCAAAATCCGTTACTGCAATTATTCTGTGAAAAAAAAAAAAAATACCACCTCAGCCAGAATATGAAGCCAAAAAGAGAAATGGATTTGTACCTTCAGAAAACAGCTTACCAAACCCAGAGCTGTTAGAGTTGATTTTGCAAACTACAATCTTGGTAAATCCCAGCTCTCTCTTTGACGAAAATGAGGATGAACTCTTGTCTGGTGGTCACCAATCTTGACCAATGTATCATGTTAGGAACTCTCATTACGTAGTGTCCTCATATTCATGCAAGACGAGGACAGCAAGGCTCAGAGAGTTTGGGTGACTGCATCAGATCCTTGGCTAGTAAATGGCTCACGTAGGACCCAGTCAACCTGACTTTAAAACTGACTAGGAAATTAGTATTTCAGTACTTTCTCTAAAACTGGGGCGGAAGGGGAAACAGACATTTGGGAGATCGTGGATATGAGTGACGTTCCCATAGAGTAGACCTCGATTTATTAAGAACATGCTGCCAAGACATGGAAGCGAGGGAAGGAGGACAGGAAAAGGAATGAGGGAGAGGACATCCCAGCAAGGGTGCAGTACCAGGCAGTCCCAGCATCGTCCTGACTCCCAGGGAGCTCTGGAATGGAAACTGCCCCTTCAAGGTGCACCCACTGGAGGCAAGGAGCTGGGCTTTCGTGTGCCTGGACTACCATCAGCCAGGGGTCTCCATGTGGCAGCTAAGCGCCCAGACCCTTCCAGCTCTCTCTGCTTGCCAGCAATGAAACTCCAGTCTTCAGACTATGACAAGTAGATAGGTTTATTCTTTGGACTTTAAACTTCAATTAAGAAGCAAAGCTAGTGAGTAGATTTTGACTGGGGAAAGAGGGAGAATAGAAGAGTTCAAGTGTCAGATAAAGGGTGCGTGAGAAAGATCCGGAGAGGAAAAAAAGGAGCTGTTGGATTATTTTGCCTCAGCTTATTTGATATCTAAGGTGCAGTCTGGAAAGATGAGGTAAGATTTAAATGAGTCATTTGTGGTCTCATAGTTTTATTTGGATTTGGTAGCAGGTACTGCAAATATAAAGGAATTTCAAGTGCTTGGAATAATTTTCACAAATGTGAATTGAAAATACAAAACAATGGAATATTTTCTCTGCTACTTACATGAATACTTTTAACTCCACAGGCAAATTAGTGACTTCCTGCCTCTCAGGAACTATTGTCAACTGAGGTATTTGTGTATTTTAGGTGATGGTAAGTGTGTGCATGTGTTCGTATAAGCAAGTGAGGCATGTGTTCGTATGAGCAAGTGAGTATGTTTTGAGAGAGAGCCATAAGATTCAGTTGACGTTATGCTGCATGTTATCCTAGTTAGGCCTAGTAGGAGACTAAGTCTATGGAGAACTGACTAAATTGATCTTAAAAGAGTCAGAAACAGTTTGCAGTAAATGATGGGAAGCACGCTGGAAAGTGCTCCAGCTCTCACTCCAATTATCCCCTCCTCTATCTCCACAGTTCCCAGAACGGTAACCCTAAAATGTATGCCCCTTGGATGGAGACTTTGTCACTTGAAAAGTGAAAAAAAGCCATCACTGTTGACATGGTACCTCAGTGACAAGAGCTGATAGCTTCCAGTCCAGTACTGTGCTGGCCTGAGAACAGGCCCTGAGAATTGAGGCTGCAGTGAGGGGAGTGTCCTCCAGGGCAGGGGGGAAGAGTTAGGCTTGAAGAGTTAGGCTTGGGGACGAGTCCTAAGTGGACTGCTTGGGACTGTGAGATGGGCACTTGAGGCCCCCGTGGGCAGCGAGCACCCGAAGTGGTGAAGGGAAGAGCAGGCATGTGGCAGACGCTGCTGGGTTCCTATTCAACATCCACTCCCCCTCTTCAGTTCCAAAGGAGTCCTGACTTTGTTCAGGAAGGCAGCATGCCCAGATGAAAGAGTTCAGGCTCCCTTCACCTTGGTGGGGCATATGACTTGTTCTGGCCTGCTTGGAGTCATAGGGTGGGGAAACTTTATAAAAGGAATCAGACTCAGCTGGAATGTTTCTTTTTGCCTCCCCCTTCCCCCCATTTTTCCTTCTTTCTGCCTGGAAAGTGGATGAGACCTAGAGGATGGCTGGCAGAAAGGTAGCAGGAGCCTGGGTCCCAGTTCACACCGAAGAACACTAGCAAACCTGAGCTGCCACACTCTCTTGTATGGTTAAGCCATTGTCTTTGGGTTTCTCCAACTGGTGGCTGAATACAGCTGACGAAAAGCGCAAGTGGACTGAGCCAGACTCCTCTTTCCTTCCTGATGGACCCTGGCCCCAGAGAACCAAATTACCCACTCTTTGAAGCATCCTTGATTCTTCTCTTTATCTCACCTCACGTAACCAATATGTCAGCAGTCTCTGTTGTTTCCCCCCCACCCCACAATAAATGCCAAGTTCTATTGCTTCACTCCATAAGCACTAGCCTGGCCTAAATTACAACTGTTTCTTACCGGAGCTCATGCAATGGCCTCCCGAAGGATTACGCTGCTTCTCCTTTTTTCCCTCTACGACATACCCTCAACATAACTTGAACTTCATAAAGCATAAATCAGATCAGGACCTTCCGATGACCTCCCACTGTGCTTAAGTAAAGTCTAAACCCCTATAAGAGCCTTGAAGCCTGCACACATGACCCCTTTCTCCCTCTTGCCCACTCTTCCTCAGTCCACACTGTCTTTTTTCTCACTTTCACTTTAAAGCCTGTTTACTTGCCTGAAAATGGTCTCATTATTGACTCTTTTTAAAGATATGGACTCAAACTAAGTGCCCAACAACTGATGATTTGATATTTAAAATGTGGCACACAACGAAATACTACTTGGCCATAAAGAGCAATGAGATCCTGTTACCTGATACAAAGTGGTAAAATCTAGAAGATGTAATCCTAAGTGAAATGAGCCATGCTGTGAAAGATAAGCAATTTATGTCCTCATTTAATATATTAAGTGATGGGGCCAGGAGGTGGTGTGGTGGCTAAGGCGTTGGACTCCCATATGGCTGACCACCTGGACATGGTGACTTGAAAATCACACTAGGTACATGTGCATGTGTGCCCCAAATCCTAGAGACTGTAGTAGGGACTGTGGTGTGGCCATCCCCCTTGGGGGGGGTGATTTTTCATTTTCCTTCTCTCTGTCTCTCTAGCCAGAGCATGCTCCCTATGGCAAAAAAAAAAAAAAAAAAAAAAAAAAATCTACACTCTGTGGAAGAAATTGAAAAGGATGAAGACATAGAAAGAGAGAGGACAGATGTAGATGCCAGAGACTGCATGGGGAGGTCAGAGGTAGGGAGGTAAAAGGGTAGCAGGAAAAAGCATTTAATAGACATGAGAATGCAGGTACATGGGGCAAATGGGTTGTGGAATGACATACCACAACTGAGAGAACAGATATGACAATCTCATACATACATCTCAAATAAAAAGAAAAGCAGGTAGAGCAAAAATTAATGGTATACATCATAATGTGGTGTTTTCTTTGTTGTTGTTGAAAAGAATAAATATGGCAAATCCTTGACTTGATTATGCAGCACACTGCATGCATGCTTTGAAAATCCATATTATGCCCCACAGAGATGTACAACAGTTAAATGTAAGTAAGAAATTATAAAGTGAAATATATAAAAAAAAATTAGGTATCAGTTTAAATGCACCATTTTGGCAAACATTTCCCTGTCCCCTCATCTATTAGTCCCAGTCCGCAGCTATGATTTCTCTCTATCGTGACACTTCATTTCTTTGGTAGCACTTATCACATACCTTGTCCATGTCACTTATTTTCCTGCCCTGACTGTCCCCTCCACCATATCTCACCACTAGACGTTCAGTACCCAGGGCAGTGCCTGGTACATTGAGCACAGACTCAATGAATGTGAATGAACCAAATAGACCATATTTTTCAGTTCTCCAAAAAGACTTGCTCCTTTTCCCTGCCTCCTGGATCTGAGCCATGTCATTTCCTGGGCAGTGTACAATCTCCTCCTCTCTCCTAGCCCAAAGCTCACTAACATTTTCTTCTAGTCCCAGATCCATACACACGTCCTTTGAGAAGATTGCCTGTCAGCCCTCTCTGAACAGGACATTTCTTCCCTTACAATTCTCATGTACTGGCCTCGTCTCTGGTATTCTTCCTCCTGTTTATGCCTCTGTGTCCTGTATTCCCTTCCCTGCTGTGATTTCCTTAAGGAATAGTCGAGCTTTCCTTTCTTCCAAAGTTCCCGGTCTAAAATTCAGGATTGCTAGGCGTGCTCCTGACAATGTAACCCGTATGGAAAGGGTCATGAGAAACTGTAAATGACCCGAGCAAGGTCTTACCTTGTTTCACCACCAAGAGTTCTGTATGTGCTTCTATAAAATCCTTCAAAGCCATCTGCTAACTTGGCCTGGAAGTCAATAGCCACGAAGTATCTCAGGTCAGCCACAAGTTTTTCTGGAACCAGCAGTGCAATTTGTTGATGAGCAGGATAACTCAAAACATTTAGCTTTTTCCCTGGTTTCATGTATCTCGAATCTTCCTCTGACTGGAGGATGGCATTGGTAATTTCGAGATCTTTGCTGTGCAAGATGATAAAATGGGTGGCATCTTTGACCAAGACCTCAATCTTCTCAGATGCAACAAAGTCCAGAGAGGTGAGATTTGGGTGGACAAAAAGGTCATAGTGGAGAGGAATGACCTCTTTGGGGAGCCTTAGCTGCCGCCAAGGAAACGGTTCCCCATTGGTGGCTACTGGGAAAGCCCCAGGGTCCTTATTGAACTGAGAACAAATGCATATTTGGAGTGCGATGACTGTTAGGCAGTAAAGCCCTATGTAGACACTAAATATTAGTTTCCTAAGTGAACGAACCATTTCAGATGAACGAAATACTAAATCAAACTTAGAGATGAATTAATATTAAAGCTAAATCTCATAGTTCTCCACTGCACTGCTGTGGCTCCAGTTATGTCATGGAGGTGCTCAACAATACGCTCCAATAAATGGGCTTAATCTGGAAAGAAAAAAAATTATAGCATGAAGAAAATTATTTCAATTCATAAAAAACACCCTTAAAAATATAAAAACATATGTGCGAATGGGGAAAGCTTTCTCTCTGTCAGAATCAGGCCGAATATTCATGAGATCAAGCAGATATTAAGATACTATTTGGTTATCATAGACAAAAATCAGATGAAAGCATTCTAACCTAAAATCACATGTAATGAATTCCCTCTACACTCCCGTGCATGAGCAGAGGGCGGGTGTGCAAATTCATTGCATATTAACTTTTTAATATTCAGTTACATCATTGTAAGAGTATGCCAGAATGCCCACAGTACACTGTGTAGGATGTCTCTATTTTGTCTTATTCTATTTTATTTTTTATATGTTTTAAAAAGGTTTATTTTTATTACTCTTATTGTTTTAAACATTTCAATTGCTATACATCATTCGACTTGTAAAGAGAATTTATCCAACATGAACTACATTTCAGACCAGTCCAGTTCAGAATACTACACATATTATCGTCAACAGGTAATGAACCACTTCTGTGTCCCACAAATGTCTTGTCTCTCTATTTTTTCTCCCTGATTTCCTTCCCTATACTCTTCTCTTCTTCCTCTATTTTGTCTTAAATCCTCACAAAGAATACTCTATATTCTTTGGATACCAGAGATTATTAGTAGTATTAATATTAATGACATTGAACTTTGTTTCTTTCAATAACTAACATCTAAAATGGCATTATTCTATGAATATTGGTGTAAAGGATGCTGTGCAAGTTAGGTGTATTGTGTTTTATTACTTTCTTTTTAATGAAAGCGAGAGAAGGGGAAGCGAAGTGAAAGAGGGGGTGAGATATTTTTGACAGGGTCTCTCATGTTATGATCCACCTGCCCCAGCCTCCCAACCAGCTAGGACCACAGGCTTGTACTGCTGTGCCCAGGTTACTTAGGTTGAGCCAGGAATTGAACTTTAGCCTACCACGTGGCCTCAGTCACTGTGCAGCAGTGCTCTTCTGCTGGCACCACCGTAGGTGGGCCAAGCTAGGTGTTTGTCCTCTGTTTACTTTCAATATATCAAAAGCCATGGAAATAAAATATGAATTTATCATTTTCTAACTGATAATAATTAAACAATTATCTTGGTCCTCTTCATCTGAGAATGCTTTTTCTTTTTCTTTTCTTTCCTTTTTTTTTATTGAGAGAGAGATTTTTCTATAGGGCACATGTGCTCACCAAAGAGACAGAAAATGAGAAATCAATCCACAGGGGGATGGCCATGCTGCGATCCCTTTTCTCCCCCACTATCCTCTCGGGATTTGGGGCACGCATGCACATGTGCCTGGAGTGAGTTTCAAGCTGTTGGGTCCGAGACTCAAACTGTGGTCAGCCATCTGAGAGTCCAGCAACATAACCATTACACCATCTGCTGGTCCTTTCACCAGACAAGGCTTATAAAAAACACAACCAAAATGGAATTCACTCCCTCTGTATATAGAACTAAAGCAGTCTCTTCCTATTAGAATGGTAAAGTTATAAAATAAGGATAGACAGTGTAGTTAATTTAGGTGATTCAGTTCTCTCCCATCCTGCCTCCCCCCCCCTTTCCAACGTGAACCCATGAACAGTTTTCTTTTTTTATCATTAACAAATTCTTCATAATTACACAAACAATTGCTTCACTTTTTCAACTTATGGTATTAGTGCAAATAAACAGGTATTGTGAAAGGGACAAAGAAGAAGGAGGAAGAGGAGGAAGAGGAGAAGAGGGAAATAATGACATTTTTCATCTTTGAAAGACGAATATTAAATCACTGCTACCCAATCTCAATATTCCAAGAAACTCTGTTAAATAAAATCATAATTAGTCTATGAGCTTGAATTTTTGAGAGTTTAAAAAAACATACAAATAAACACAGAATGTCTCATTAGTTTAGGTCTCATGTTTTGGGGTCAGAGAACCCAGAGACCAACACTACCCAACTTATCTGTATCACCTTGGGCAAATTTTGCGAAATTTTTTGGAAACCATTTTTTTTTTTACCTATAAAACCGTGTAACCATGCCTTCCCCAGATTTGGAGGATTATATGAAACAATTCATGTAAAGAATTTGGTACAACATAGCACCTAGCATATAGGAAGCATGTAATGAATGGTAGTTGTTTAATTATTATTATGGTTATTGTAACTTGCATTCCCCAGCCCAAGTTAAGGAGTTGTCCTGCCCCTACTTGTAGCAGATACTCCCAGAAAAAAGTGTATTTTAGGCCTTCTTTTCTAGTCAGGTCGTCTTTAACGTTAGAACTAGCTAGGATTTTAAAGGCCATCTTGCACAAGTCCCTGGCATCCAAATAAAGAAACTGGTTGAGTGACTTTCCCTAAATCATACGGATCATTTCAAGCAGTCAGGAATAAAACACAGCTCTTTGCTAGTGACCTATCGTCACACTGCATTGTACCTTAAATAGCCTTATCATAAACAAAACATCCTGGAATTGAAGATGCAAGATTCCAGCAAACATTTGGGACAGGGTAAATGTCTGTAAAAGAGAGCCAGTCAGTTAAGCCGCCTTCTGCAAGCTCCACCCTCCACCACGAGTTTTCCAATGCTCCAGATTCGCCCCCTTTCCCCAGTCGCAGCTTAGATTACAAAACCTCCTCAACACAGCAGTGCTATACCTTCACTTCAGGTCATTATTCTCGCTGAAAAATTCAGATTTAAAGACCAACCCAAGAGAAATGTCCTGTTACCTTCATCCACGCTGTTGCAGATTTGAATGGAGGGGAAATGTGTGTTTGCTTTCACTTTCCATTCTGTTAAGGTTCAGAACTTTGCATACTTCCTGATTTAGCTGATTCATTATCATGTAGGTACAAACGGGGCTTTGGACAAAAGCTTTAATCCAATGAGCACAAGAAACTTCTGTAGAACACACTGGTAAGTAGCCACAGTGCAGACCCAAGCAGGATCTGATTCCAGCCTGCCCTGCATGGTGGCCCCTGCCGTTTCAGCTCCCCCATCCCTTATCCTCAAGTGTAAAGCCTCGGCACCTAGTTCATGTGTTTGAGTGGCAGGTTATTTTAGGATATGATCTTGAATTCCTCACTGTGCAGTGTTTTAATGCTCTGAAATCTGACCTCTGTCCGTCTTTCCCCTCCCCCCAGAGGTAACCCCAATGTCAGCTTCTGTAGTCTCTATCAGAGATGACTATCTTAGGGGTTTTGATGTCTGTAACCTTTTGCCTCACAGGCCCACGGGTATCTCACCCTTATCTCTCTGATCTCTCTTCATCTGCCAGATCCCGCATGGGCCTCTACTTCCTCACTACCTGAAGAATGTGCCTCCCACAAAGATGGCGCCTCTGTCCTTTGCCTTTCTCTCTTTCACAGACTTTGTGTTTATTCTCACGTTCCCTATTTCTCCTCTTCTGGGCTCTCTTTAGGGCGTCTGCTGCTGCAGTTGCAGCAGCCGGAAGGACTGTCACTACGTGCATGATCTGCCAACCATTCTGGGTCTTTCCCCACATCAGTGCCCTTTGCTCGAACCTCAACTGCTTCTGGCCCTCCTCCATGATCTATGATCAGACCACAGAGTTATTTTGATTCTGCTTTCTCCAAATTTGTACAAGTCCTATTGATTCTTCTTTTCTAATCTCTTTCTGTCCTACTTTAAAAATAAATCCTCACAGTTATTAAAGTCCTCATCACTTCTCATGGTGGACACAACCAGGTCTTGCTGGCTCTCAAGTCCTGTCCCCCTGCAGGTTACTTGCACAACCCACCAGGTTAATCCTCGCAACTGCCACTTGATTGTACCTCCCACCTGCTCAAGGTCTTCCCAGGGTTTCCTGCAGTTTGCAGAAAGAGGTAGGTCCCGGTGTGGAGACAACAGATGGCCCAATGGCAACTCGTGCGCCAGCCTACGGTCATTGCGTTTAGATCCCATTATATTAAAAGGCAATAGAGGGGCTGGATGGTAGCCTAGAAGTAACACAATGCTCTCTAAGGCTGACTTGCATGGGAAGGTTGTGAGTTCTTGTCTATGTTAAACTTGCAGTTTTAACATACCTTCCTGAACATGCCAGGCATGTGTCTGCTTGTGATCTGCTGACTGAAACAGAGGGTGGATCACAGTGTATGACCCCATTGGCTGCCTGTCTCTCTGACTCTCTCTCTCCCTTTCTTCTCTCTCTCTCTCACTTATAGAAGGAAAAAAGAAAATTTTTTAAAGGAGAGGGAGAATACACCCATACAATTGTTACTCTGGAGTGACATATTCTCAGGGCTGTGTGCGTATGTATGTGTTTTCAGAGCTGTGTGTGTGTGTGTGTGTGTGTGTGTGTGTGTATTCTCAGAGCTGTTCCCTGCCCACAGGAACAGAATTAGGAAACAGGGCAAACGAATGGAGTCGCAGAATCCTAGAAGAGAAAGTTGATTAGAATTCAAATATTTCACAGCTCATTTAAAACAGCTTCTCACCAACAGGGGTTCCTAACTTTTCTTTTTTTTCCTGATAAGAGAATAAGCTTTGGGATGCTATTTGCTTAGGGGATTCACATTTCTTTCTTTTAAAATTAATTATATAAATATATATGTATATGAATGTATATATATATAAAATCAGGAAGTCAGGTTTTTGCCATCGGGCTCATGCACTCCTTGGAAAGAGACAGAGAAAGAGGGAGAGTGAGAAGGTGGGAAATTCCCCCTGCCCGGGGTGGAGGAATGACCACATTGTAATACCTTCTCCTCCATTTTCCTTTCAGATTTTGGGCATGCACACACATACCTGGTGCAATTTTCAAGCTGCCAGGGGACTCAGACCATGGTTGGCCACATGAGAGTCCAGCACCTTAACCACCATGCCATCTGCTGGGCCCACGGCGAGGCGGAGGGGTTGGGGAGAGGTTCACATTTCACTCCTTCACTTCGTCCTGGTCTCCTGAAGTTTCCTTTGCTCAGAGAGACCCTTGTTGTTGGCTCTACATAAGTGGGTGGCACTCCACCCTAATCCACCCTGCCACCTCCTAGGGGCTAATGCCTTAGCCTGCCTTGTTTCTGTCTTTGGTATGTATCAGTTCCTGAGACGTCATTATATCGGATTGTTGGAAAAGTCATGACATATTTTTCTGTTTTTTTTTTTTTTTTTTAAGTGCAAAAATGCATCACTGACTTTTCTGACAACCCAATATATTTGTCTGTGGGTTGGTTTACCTGTCTCCCCAACAGACTTTGCTTGCTCATTCACTGCCAAATACAGAGCTGAGCACGGAGTCTAGAAATACAAGAGAAACTTGATAAATAGCAGCTGAATGGGTGAACACATTGTTAATATTTTAATTTTATTTCCATTTTTTCTTGCCTAATTGTCTAGACTTGCTCCATGCTTCAGGGATCTGTCTAGATGCTTGTCACTCTCAGTCAACTTACAGTTTTAACACCTACCTCCTTTTCTCTGGCTTCGATTTGTTTTTGAAAAGATCTCTAAAAATTGTTAAAAGTACCTCACAGAATTATAGTTATGCCTCTGTTCATTTTCTAATAAAATAAAAGGAGGGTCTATAATACAGTTTTGAAATGTTTTAACTTAAAAGGAAAAGAAAGTTTTTGTTTCCTCAAAGACTCGGGGTCCTTTTTTTTTTTTTTTTTTGGAGAGATTTTTCACTGTAGGGCGCGTGCGCTCGCCAGACAGACAGAGAGAGACATAGAGACAGAAAGCGAGAAATCACCCCCCAGGGGGGATGGTCACGCCGCAATCCCTTCTCCTCCATTCTCCTCTCGGGATCTTGGGCACGCACGCACACGCGCCCGGCGTGAGTTTTAAGCCACCGGGTCCGGGACACGAACCGCGGTCGACTACGTGGGAGTCCAGCGACATAGCCATTACGCTAACTGCTGGTTCCCAAAGACTCGGGGCCTTATATGAGAGAGGTGGGAGGGCAGGAAATATCCAGCTCGTCCATGCATCCTGTAGCTTCTTGTACACTCGCTCAGCTTCAGTAACAAATGTAGACAGCATAACCTCAGAATTTTAAATGAGTAGCTGTCAGGAAGCTGTTTACCAAAAACTGGTCTCTTCAGCATGCCTTCCAGAAAGCACTTACTAAAAATGAAAACAGACGAATGTAACAATAAAATCTGACATGGTTAAAGTGGAATGGAACAGTAAACAATCCTGGTGTTGGACAACTGAAATCGTACCACTCTTTCAATTTCTGTTTAATAGTCAAGTGAAAAATTCTCATGCCTCTGCCATTTCCCAGTTAAAGACTACTTCGGTAACTGGTGACACATTTCAAACAGAAACAATGGCTTAAAAGATACATCAGTATGATTCTGAGCGTAGTCAATACTTTATTTATTTACTTATTGATTTTATGCCAGAGGACACATACATGAGACAGGGAGAAAGACAAAGAGAGAGAGAGAGAGAAGAAGAGAGAGGGGAGAGAGAGAGAGAGAATCCCCCCCAGCAGAGCCTGGTCATGCTGCGATCTTTCCCCCTCCCACCCTCTCTCCTGTCAGGTGCATCTGATCATCTGATGTGTATTTCAAGACACTGGGACAAGACTTGAGTCCCAGTTGACCATGTGGGACTTGGGTCCCTCTGCACAGTGCTTACCCACTATGCTACAGGGATGGCCATAACTAATTTATTTTGAGAATAAATTTCTTACTTTTATTTCAGTCAACTGACAAAAATCAATTACTTAAACCAAATCGATATTGTTTTGGACTCCCACTACTTAAGGCCTTTACTAAAAAAAAAAAAAATCTGGAAAAACTTGCACTTCTGGCCAAGAAATAGTAGAAACTCTAATTTATCATCTCACTCAAAACAATAATACTAAAAAAAAAAAAACAAATGACAGTTTGCAAGACAATGAGTATCAGGCAACCAACGATAGCAAATCATTTTTTTTTTTGAGAGGTTTTTGCTATAGGGCGCCTGCGCTTGCCAGACAGACAGAAAGAGACAGAGAGACAGAAAGCGAGAAATCACTCCCCAGGGGAGATGGCCATGCCGCAATCCCTTCTCCTCCATTCTCCTCTCTGGATCTTGGGCACACACGCACACACGCCCGGCGTGAGTTTTAAGCCACCGGGTCCGGGACGCAAACAGTGGTTGACTACATGGGAGTCCAGCGACATAGCCATTACGCTAACTGCTGGTCCCCCACGATAGCGAATCCTGAAGAGGGAAAAAAAGTTTTTTTTTTTAAAGAGATTTTTATTATAGGGCGTGTACTCTCATCAGAGAGACAGAGACAGAAAGCAAGAAATCACTCCTCAGGGGGGATGGCCATGCCACAATCACTTCTCCTTCATTCTCCTCTCAGGATTTTGGGCACGCACACATGCCTGGAGTGAGGTTAAGCTGCCAGGTCCAGGACTGGAACCATGGTTGACTATGTGGAAGTCCAGTGATATAACCATTACACCATTTGCTGGTCCTTAAAGATGCATTTAAGGTACACAAAATGCAAAATTATCTGTTAATGATAATGTGAATTATAATATCTTTAACTGGACTAATATTCAGTGCATTCATGTTGGAAAAAATTCATTTTACGAGCTGTAATGATAGACAGTGATTGAATGCATAAAATAAAGAAAGAAAAAATTAAAAAGAGAAAGAAAGAAATGAGGCAATCCCTGGAATTTTCCCAGATTACTGCCCTGAGAATGATTCCAGGGTGCCTCTCTGGGTGGGAGATCCGAGGCAGCACCCAGCAGACCCTGTGAATTGAGAAGATGGAATATGGAGTGGGAGAGAGCGGAAACTAGAGTTCATAGAACAAACACCAAGGAGGCACAGAGAGAGGCTTTGGAAACCTGCCGAGGGTTCCCCTTGAGTAGTCGGTTGATCAATGATCAACTCTCATACATGCAGAAAATACTAGAGCCAGAGACTGAACCGTGGAAAGGATTAGAAGTAACTGTGCCTGGCCCCCACACAGACAGAAACTATGCCACCAGTCAGACTGGGAAACCTCAAGACAGACTGAAGGATCTTGCTCCCATGGTAGGGTGCATAAGCCTCAGGTAATGGAGCTTTGCTCCAGTTGGCCTAAGGAATTAAAAAAAAAATTATTATTATTATTCTAATTTGTTTTATACATTCAATCATTATACATCACTATAGCTTGTAAAATGAATTACCCAGCATGACCAGTCCAATGAATCTTAAAAACAAGACCCAGGGGCCAGCAGGCGATATGGTGGTTAAGGTGCTGGATTCCTATATGGTCAACCACTGTTTGAATTTGGACCTGGCAGCTTGAAAATCACGCCAGGTACGTGTGTGGACATGCCCAAAATCCTGAGAGGAGAATGGAGGAGAGATTGCAGTGTGGTCATCCCCCTAGGGGGTGATTTTCTACTTCCCCTCACTCTGTCTCTCTCTGGCAAGCATGCATGCTCTGTGCTGGTACTGGTGGTGGTGGTGGGGATTTTCCAAAAGATAAAACTATTTCTAAGGAACTTAGCCATTTCCCAGCACAAAGCTCAAGAATATTTATAGTTTTTGGGAACCAGCAGTTAGTGTAATGGCTGTGTCGCTGGACTCCCACGTAGTCGACCGTGGTTCAAGTCCCGGACCCGGTGGCTTAAAACTCACGCCGGGCACGTGTGCGTGCGTGCCCAAGAACCCGAGAGGAGAATGAAGGAGAAGGGATTGCGGCATGACCATTCCCCCTGGGGGGTGATTTCTCGCTTTCTGTCTATGTCTCTCTCTGTCTGTCTGGCGAGCGCATGTGCCCTATAGCGAAAACCTCTCCAGAAAAAAAAAAAAAAGAATATTTAGAGTTTTTAAAATAATCTTTCATCCAACTAGATAAGAATGTGGGTGGTGAGTTTCAAATAAA